GAGTCTTGTTTATTTTAGATTACTTGAACTTCTGGGCTCGGCGATTATTGCCTTAGATGTTGGTGGTTAATAACCGATTTTGAGGCCTATGATATTCGACTCAAATTAAAGAGAATTTCACTTTATCCTTTATTTTATTTTCTCCTTGAGCTATCTGCAGCTGTTTTATTTATCTCAAAAGAGGCTCAAATTTTCTTGTCCATCTGATCCAGTTATTCAAGGAACTACTCATGAATCCGTCATACGCACCACTATTTTAAATTGTTAGCAATCATGAATTTATAAATATTTAAAAATAAAGAAATCAGCTAATACAATATATGTTAATGTCAAGACAACTGTTTTTTCGATACACTAAACAAATAGAAAAAGACTACCTTTGGATACGATTATTTTATCTTGTAAGTGAAGTAAATAAGCAAGCCTCGTTCATGTATTGATCCTAGGGAATGTAAGTGTAAATTCTCCACGCGCCTTTCCTAGAAGCGATCGTCTCGAAGAGTGAAGCAGCAGCCAATTCAAGCATTCTCAGGAATTCGGTAAACGGCGAAGAGATATAAACAAAGCCTGAAATTGAATTAAGGCTCTTACATAAGCTGAGGAATCTAGCGTACATTCTAGTTTGTAGCTGCTTTGTTTCGAGGAGATTAGCATAGGCAATTCTGTTCAATCTCCAAGGGCTTTCGATACAGTTACTACGTATTGAATAATTTTTTCTGCATCTTCTTTTTGGGAACCAAAAATGCCTAACACAAATTTGTCGATCACTTTTAGATGCATCACACAAACACTGTTCAATGAAATTATATTCATTCCTAGAGCTTCAAAGAATATAATTTATGTGCTTCAAAAAGAAATGTCAGCGACTTATGATAGTTCAAGTCATTAATTGCAGGCTGAACAGAATAATTCATAATTTGCAAATTTGTGGATTGGATTTCTAAATGTTGAAATTAATTAATATCATCTATAATTGTTTAACGTAAATGCAATTTAATTAATAGTAAAATTAGTTAAAATTGCTTCTATGTCAGTGGAAAAAAATATTTTGTTAAATGAAAATTGTAGTGATTATTATGCAACCGGTGTAACACATATCGTCGACTCCATGCCAAAATCGCGAATCTGTATTTTTAGTTGTTTTCACCTAAATGAATTTTATAATTTAAGGAAATTTTACCTTTTGTTGTGTGATGCTACAGATTAAAAACGAAGACCTCGTTTTATTTTTATGTTATGTTTTTTGGATCAGATTTTCGTTTATTCTTTTTCATACAACAGATTGCTTCTGTTTTACATATTTTTTGTATTAGGTCCACTTAAATATAAAATTGTTATCATTATTAGCTTTATTTCCTTTCTTTATGATTCTGGTGCTATAATTTAAAAAGTGTTTACTCCAGCCTGTGGAGTTTCAAAAATTACATTTGTTTTTGCATATGTTGGATTGCATGTACCTGCAGGTTTTGTGTTTCTGGACATGGTCTACACTTAATAATATTTTTCAAAACTTGCTTATGTTTTTGACTAAATTTTGCATCTATTTGTGTACTTCGGCCTGTAAGGGTTTGCCTGATAAAGATACAGATTATCTTCGTTTTTTTGAGATAATGTTAAGTTTTAAACTCTAATTTGTGTTTTTGTTCGTTCAGAAAAAGGTTGATTTACTTACTTCTTTTACCAATTTCTTGATGACGATACAGAGAAAGATGGAAATTTCTTAATTCATTTATGAATTTGGTATGGTTTATCCCTTTTTTCCTACAGGTTTCTAAGGAATGTTTGGTATTTTCGTTTTTTGGATGTATTTTGCCTTTTGCTTTGTTTTTTCTGTAAGTTCATTGTATATTCCGAATTTAATGATTTAATGTGAGATGAATTTTAAACGCATTATTTTTTAATTTATTTTGCCATATATATATATATATATATATGTGTGTGTGTGTGTGTAATGATATTTTTAAATCAATTGATTAAATTAAATTCTAATAATATTGCTTAATAATGTGTTGGCGATTCTCTACCTAAATTGCATCCCTGTTCCTAAATTTTGATGAAATCCTTTCTTTAGTATAAAATATATTAACCTGTTGGCGCCCGCCAAATCGCCAAACTCATAAATCTGTCGTATTACATAAAGTCCTTAAGAACACTCCTGATGAGAAGATAGCGTCACCTCGTGATTTCAATTAATATCGCTGATTGGGTGAGCCTCGTGACGCACACATATGTATAAATTGGGCTTCTGCTCAAGGTACGAGGAGAAACGCTTGTGAGATGGATGCTAAAATAAACCTACCACTTTATATTCCAAAATTTGTCTCATTCCTGTTGCCCCGGCTGCACAAAACAAATAATGTATGAGAAATTACATTTCATATATATATATATATCTGTGTGCGAACAGCCTCTATATATAAATAATGTAATATATGAATTCCTGCTCCTGAATATATGTAATATACTCAGGAGCAGGAATTTGGATGGTGTAGAATTGTTGATCCATAATAACTAGGAAATTGGAGGCAAAAGGCAGTTTTAATAGGGGTTACAAAGGGTTTACATCCCGAAAAGGCGCTTCTGGGTGTCTGATGGAGTATTCGCGGAATTGTTCATTTTGAATTGCTGAAACCTGGACAAACTGTTAATGTAGACCTTTATTCTGAACAATTGGATGGAGTGAACCAATCTTTAATCGAAAAATATCAATTGTCAACAGAAAAGGCATCATTCTGCAACACGACAATGCAAGACCGCACTGTGCAAGACGAGCATTGGAAAAAATTAATGAATTAAGGTGGGAGGCACTGCCATACTCACTCACCATACTCGGCCGATATCGCAGCAGCATTGGATTTCCATTTATTCGGATCCCTACAACATTTTCTGAGTGGCAAAAAATTTGAAAATTTGGATGATGTCCAAAATGTCCTCTCGAGATATTTTGCTCAAAAACCAATTGATTTTTATCGGTCCGGGATTGAAAATCTGCACATTAGATGGCAAAAAGTTGTTGATAACGAGGGTGATTATATTGATTAAAAATAAAAACTTATTAAAAATGTGTTCTTTTGAATTTAATGTAAGAAAGCGACATTACTTTCCGGTCTCCCTATTATATTGGAATGCCAAAGCTTTCATGAACTCCTTGTAAAGACTACATCTCTTATGTTCCTTTCCTTATTGTTCAAATTTTTAACTTCTGACTTTTGTTCCCATGTTCATTTATTCTGCTTCTTACTTTATAAATGTTTGTTCTTTTTTATTATTTATCATTGTTCTTGTGTGATACTTGAGCTGTTTTGTATGTTTGGATTGACTTGGACAGTTCTATATTACCAAGCTATTTCAGGCGCAACGTTGTTGGTTCCTTAAATTAAGCCCAAGGGCACATGACATAATGAATTCTGGAAATGGAAAACATCTCGGATGAGAAAGCGTAGAAAGGAAAAGAGGGAGGGGTACCGAAAGGAAAAAGGCCAAAGACATCTGGCAGGTGAATGGAACTTGACAAGATGAAGAAAATCCAAACGGATTCTTGACAATTCAGAGAAACGACAAATGCAAAACATGGTTCCAAATACTACACAACAACAACAAAAGCTCAATACTACTATAAAACTACACAAATTCAACCCATATAGCAGAAAATGAACACACAACGGTTATTACAACATCACACTAGCAATCCAAACAACTTAGAGTACAGCACTGTCTTGATCAGATAAAATGAAAGAAATTGCAGCCACCGATTGAGGAGCAAGAGAAAGAAGCAGAGGTCTCATCCCATGAAGGTGTGAGCTGCAAGTGGTCTTATGTTGCGGTCTTCATTGAGTATTTGTTTGGATTGATCTTTCCAATAAAGTCATATGTAACAACAACTTTTGCTAGAGCAGTGGTTGCTTCCACGGAATTTTGACGCTCGATTCCAGTTCTTCTGGTGACTCTATTTGTAACTAAATTTATTTTCACTGAAAGACTTTCTCATCCTTTCATTAAGTTCATCACAAAATTTCGTAAATTTCTGATCTCTAGTTCCGCTTGTAGGCAGCTTTGAAATAGGGTTTTTTAACTGTAGACACCCTGTACTTTACTGGGCATGTTGAATCTGGCGCTTTTATTGGGACACCCTTTATTATGTAACTTAGGTTTGTTAACCACAGCACTCTTTCTACGCCAAAATGATCTGAACTAAGTTACACCTTGTCACAAGGTTTCTAAGCACAGTGTAATTCATTTGCTACACCAGTCCATAAAAAGTTAATATCACTTGCTTTAAAAATGTTATTGTTACGTGTCATCGCTATGAATCAATGTCTTTCGGTTCCTTTTTCAATATGCCACTTGAATTTACTGAAGCTTCAAGCTTAGAATTAATTTTAAAACGCGTTATTTAAATTTTCAGAATAAATTTAAATATGAGCTGTTTATTAATATTTGCTTTAAGTTAAAAAAAAACAAAGGCAAGCGTCATCGGGAAAGAAATCCAATTGTAAGCTGAGAAACCTTTTAAGCTCGGAGTGACTTCGAATGAATAAAATAACAAATCCATTCAAGCTCTTTACAAAGAAATAAACATGTACGAGTGACTCGTTGTCACCTAGCGGATAGGAACATTTTCTAATGAAGTTAATAATAAAAATGTAGATTCTGGTCTCCCGAATAACTGAGTGGTAATCAGATTTGCCACGAATATTTTCAGCGCTGAAATTAAACGGTTATATGAAAGGGTGATGAAGAAAATAATTCTCTTTACTACAGGTATTGCGAATTAAGTAACTTTCCTTTCTCTCAGCCTCAAGAATATCTTCTCTTTCAACCCCTTCGAGAGTTTAGGGCCTTATTGTTCGAATGTTGGACTGTCAAAGGGGAAATGACAATCGGCTTTATTAAAATGTCACCTTCACCTGATACGCCGGCTGTTATTGCTCTTGTTGCACGCAGGAGTTCGTCTGCCTGTCCTGCTACTGCCACTCACGCGAACTAAATAAAGCACTTAGAGAAAAAAGTGCAGTCTTTTATTTCCCTTGAGTTGTTCTATACTGTTTAAAAAATCGCGTTGGGTGCTTTGAATGGCAGCCATTTGTCTGGAAAGGGAGCTAAGCGAAGTGTTTAAGTAAGTTTTTCTTAATAGTTTAGTCGTAAAAAGATATGTTGGAAAATTAACCATAACTAATTACATTAAAAGGTACAGTAAGCAACATTTTTTTAACAGCCTAAAGAGTTAAATTATACCCGATATACAGAAAGTAAATTAGAAAGTAAAATAATAAATTTTTAGGCTTAAAATTAATTTTTATGTTCTAAAGCTCATTTTAGCTAAAACCTTATTTTTTATGCTAATTCTTTCCTGTAACTTCTATTTCTATTGCTAGCTTTCACCAGAATGCAAATTATCCGGAGTTTAAATAGCGATTGTGTATGCAATTTAGAGAGAAAGCTTTGGTAATGCGCTATGAAAGCAGTTTATTTTGTGACTTGTTCCATTTGCTTGGTGATGCGGGTTTCTAAAAAATTACCTGAACTTCTTAGCAAGTAGGTTTAAAGGTCGCAGTAAGATGGAGCCAGGTTCGGTAGATAATTTTCTACTGTGCTATACGCATTTACCCATTTGAATTTTAAAGACTCCAAGAAGCGGTGGAAAAGTTTTGTTAAATTTCCTTCTGCGTACAAAACGATGTTTTAATATCATCTTAATGAATGTAAGTTTACAAAAATAGGGGTTAAAATAAGTAATTATACAAATTTATCTAATGAATGCTGTTTAAATACAAGTCTTCATGACAAATCTAAAATCTTGCACTGCTGAGAGGTTTAAAAATATTTTAATTCATTTGTATCACTTGTCTGTTATTTAAGTCTACATTTTTAGTTAAACGCGAAGATGAGAACTATTTAGAAGGATTGGATTGGATTATTCAGTTATGGCAAAGCACACGAGGGCTATCTGCCTAAGGGGGAGGGATGGCTTCGCGGAGGACTTTCTAAGGGAAACTGGCTCGTATAAACGTTACACATGGGGAAAACCACGAAAACGCCCATGCAGCCAGCCCGTTCGCGGGATTCGAACCTCGGACCGAACTACCAGTGTTCAGCGACTTTACCGCTCGGCTGCTGGTGGGCCTATACTATTTAGAAGGAAGGTAGGTTAAAGAAGGTGCAATTTAACAATTGATTAGGTTTAAGTTTACAAAATAGTTTTTTTATTTATAAAACTTGCTGAGTTGCTAAATGCAATGACTACGAACCGATATATAAAGTACCCACTATCAATATATAGTTTGTTTAAGTTGTTGCTACTATAAAAAAAGGAAAAAATCTGATGGACCAAAAAAAGGGAATACAAATCTAATGTGGACACCACGACTTCCTTGTACAGCGTATTACATTGTACACATTTTTTTGTAGCATATAATTTAAACTTATTTCCTCGAGTTTCATTAGAGATATATTTCTTATTCAATCAATTCAGTTCTCACTTCGCGTCAAGACAAAAATACATAAAAACTCAAAAAATCTTCATTGTAAAACAAAGAAAAAACTAAAATTGTAAAACAAAGAAAAAACTAAAACAACAAATACAGTTAAAAACAGTTAAAAAGTTTTGTACAATTACAATTAGAGTTTCTAAGAAGAAACAAGCAACTGTGCCAACTGGCACGAAGACGAAATTTTTCTGTGCACAAAATTGAAAGTTAACTTTCGGTAACACTGGGCAAAAACCCACCGAATTTGCTGCACCAATTGACTTAATTCACTATTCTACTGCTACTTACAGTTTCAAATTCAGTAAAGAAATGGCTGTCTCGTTAAGCCTACCGCCACTTTTAAATTGTTGGTAATTCTACAACTATTGCATGCAGATAAACTAAAGACATGCAAATCTTAACAACGTAATCCCTTTTAAAGCTAAAATACACGTCTACTAAAATATAAGAATAATAAAAAAAACAGAGCTCAACAAGCCGGGTAAGAAGGTGGATATGTGTATATATATATATATATGTAAGTTCAGTAAGGCACATTGCAACAAGAAAGGGATGCACAACTAGATATTATAGGATTCCCACATACAAAATTTCAACGTTTTATGGCTAATCGTTTTTAAATTATGCGAAATATACACATAAGTATGTACGTACAGACGCCACGAAAAAATGTTCTTCTGAATCCGTCTTAAATCTATTTTGGAGAAAAAAGTCCTTTATTCTGTCAGTACGTAGAGGTGTTATGCAAAATTTCGTCTAACTGCATTTCAGAGTGGTCAGAGTGGTTTCAGAGTGGTTTCAGAGTGGTTGTTTTCGTTGAAATATGAAAGTTGAAATTTTTCGCGATTAGAATACTTATTTTACTTCGCAAAAGGAAGTAAAAAAACGAAGAAGAAATATAAACATCTAGTTTTCCACTGCACCAGAAGGAAGCGTTTTGAAGCTACTAAAAATTAAATTCTGTGCACTCTTGATTAATTAATTATCCGGATGCAATAGATTTAGTTTGTGTTTTATTCGTGCGTGCCGCTGAACACAACCGCACACTCGAAATTATGCGTAAGTGTGTGTAAAAACAAACTCGCGCAAGTCTGGGCATGCGCCCTAATACAAAAAATCGGAGACTTTGAAGAAATCGAGTTGATAACTAAAGTTGTATGTCAAGAAATTGAAAATGTAAAATTCTTCGAAGATGTCGATCGGAAAATATGGAGAATATTTCGATGGCTATTAGATTTTGAACCCAGCTTTCAATGCCTCAATGATGCAGATGTCAAGTGTCACAAGCGCTGAAGAGGCAAAGAGTGATACTGAAAATACAAGAGCAGAAAATGCTGACAATTACAGTAGTCCCGTGATAACAATGACCTTCTGTTGAAACACTTTTGGACTTCGTCGACCAAAGGTAAGTTGTCGACCAAAGGCAATGATAAAATAACACTTCGAAAAATTTGTAATGAAATTCGACGAATATTTAAACGTTCCCGAAAACTACTGATTTTATAAAATTATTGAAAATCAGTAAAATTACTGATTTTTTTATGAAACAGACGCATGTAATATGCACAAAAATTAATGTTTGGAATTATCCGTAATCTGCTTCGCCAGGCCTGATAATCGACAGTACACTGTAGCTGTATCCGTAGGAAAGAAATTTTATGTCTTTTTATTTCCTGTACCAAATTACTTACTTTAAAATAAGCACTTCAAGGCCGTTGCCGTCCTCGCAGTTGTAACTCGTGTTGCCATAACGTCACAATATTTATAATATTTATGTTCTCCTCATGAGTTGAGACTGTAATCCAAGTTAACCTTTATTCACGGGCTCTTCATGAAGAGAAGTGATGTGGGGAAAAAATTAATCGAGTTGACCTTTTTTCCGTACCTGTTATTTCCATGGTTACAAGTCAAACTCAGAGGCGGAAAATAACCTTGAAGTTCCTATTTTAAAGTAATAGACAATAGTTGGTTATATCTGTAGCTGAAATGTAGAAGAAATATAAAACAATTATTTCTATGGACTTACAAAACCTCATCTGAATCCATTGAAAATTGAATAATTGTACCTGTTGTTATGAAATTTTATACACCAGTGCTAAAATACTTCAAATTTACAAAAGTAGTTTCGTTTCCAGGCAAATGAAAAAAAAAATTTATGACTAATTATTGCTAATATCTTATAAGCAAGATGCAGAGTAAACACAAAAATTAATGATTTAAAAATTCTGCAAATACCTAAACACCTTAACGTAATAGTTCTACAATCGAAATTAATAGATTATAATTTTCTTACTTAACTAAATTAACTAGTTTTTACAAAAAAAAAAAAAAAAAAAAAAAAAAAAAAACTCTTTTGATTACGTTAGGGAAATTCAATTTAACTAATTCTTTTGTTTTTATTAGTATTATAATATACTGCTTCTAAAACTTGCGAAAAAATTCAAGACATTTAAAAAAGTAATTATCCGATAAATTAAAAAGTAATTAGTCTTAATTATACAAAAAGGGCATCATTTTGTAAAATAATAATTTTACACCTTAAACACTGAAAAAAAACAGTGTTTATATTCTATCAAAAATTCACATCTGCTGTAATGCATGTTTATAGTCTTTTAAAAAATAAAACTTAAGCCAAACACTTCAACACTCTTGCCAAGTATATCATATTCACTGAGTATTAATTTTTTTAGCAGCACAGATGCTATTTTCTTTAAGGATAAATTACTTTTATTTATGGAAAGTTGAGATAAACAAAAGAAGACAGAGAGACATAATTAAGCGCTTATATTTCTAATAACATTTCTAGCTTGTATATAATTACGACAATATAATGTTTCCTTAAAAGTCATTTCTGAAAACCAAGCTTATTTCACATAGCCAAGTTAGTACATAAATTTAAAATACTAATTGCGTAATTTACATTTGTTCCGTATCGTTCGCTCTAAACTTTTTAGCAGCACAAATGCTATTTTCTTTAAGAATAAATTACTTTTATTCATGAAAGTTAAGATATGCAAAAGAAGACAGAGAGAAATAATTAAGCGACTTCTTTATTTCTTATAACAGTTCTCGCTTATACATAATTATGACAATATAATGTTTCTTTAAAAGTACTTTCTGAAAACCAAGCTTATTTCACATAGCCAACTTAGTACATAGATTTAAAATACTTAATTGCGTAATTTACATTTACTCCGTATCGTTCGTCTTAACAGAAAATATTGTTACGAAATGTACAGGCGCTTCCCCGCAAAGCAGTTTTAGGGTTGTCATAAAATGGCAATAAAAAGCAGGGTTGCCACATTTAGCGAGAAATCGCCCATTTGGCGACATTTGACTACAAAATCGGCGATATGCCATAGACTGATGGAGAACCATCTGGAACGAATTCTTACCGGTTTAGCCCAGAATGTTCTCGAACACAAGCTGAAAGCTATATAAACCCTGCTGGTCCGCAGTCAGTCAGTTAGTATTGAGAGGGCGAGTCAGAGTGCCTCGTCGAGAGGGTGAGTGAGTGTGTCTCGTCTAGAGTGCGAGTGTCTCATGTAGTTAGTCCGTGCGGAGACGATCGAGTTGACAGCCGGGCAGCGATCGTCGAGTTCACCAATCTCTATGTGTATCGCGGTTA